TAGGTCCAGCCCTGCTGAATCAGAAGCCATCCAAAGACATTAATTCAGCTTACCAATGTGGTGTGTGTGTGTGTCTCTCTCTCTGTGTGTGTTTTCTTGCAATGCTAATAATCAGGATCAACTAGTACATTCCTCCCTTCAACGATGCTGGGTTTGGGGCACCAGATCCCCATGTAGTTCAAAACCCATGTATAACTCTTATGTCCCCCAAAACACAACTACAAAGCATAAACAGTTGATTCACACCCACACCCACACATCGGTTCTCTCTGTTCTCTTCCATTGCGTTGACAATCCTTTCCACACAATACTGTGTGTAACGAGCCTTAAAGGTCCTTATGACCCCTGGATCTAGAGGCTGAGTTGTGTGTGTTATGTTTGTGGACAAGTAGGCCATTTCAGTGTGTTCAGTGTTGAACTCATGCCTCTGGTTCTGGGTGGCCAGGGGCAGAGTATTTGTTGAATATTTATTTATTTATTGAAATATTGACATATTGAAAAAAAAGACCCTGTATACAACCAAAACCTTGCTGGTCAAACCCGTGCAATTTAAGGGAGAAGTGTATTGTCTGTAGCGTACGGAGTTCTTCAAAATGTGGACAACTGCTTATTAGAAGCTGTTGCGTCCAACAGACACACTTGCAGATGTCATAAAACAATGGGAGTGACATTGGGTCATTGCTAGCCAAGACTAACAATGACAGATTCTAAAGCAGCCATTCTCAACCTTTTCCCCCCGCTATTGCCATAAACACAATATGAAAGAAATATAGACTGAATTAGGATTGTATATAAACCACATAGGCCAACCTTGTAAAGTGGTGTGTGAAGAACTGTTTCCAGTCTGTGGCCCCCTTCAAATGTGCCAGGGCTCCCCAGGGGGCCACATGCTTCCCCCACTTCATTGAGAATGCCTGCTCTAGAGCTTCCTTAGCCTATTTCAGTTGCCTTCATAGGGATGCCAACCGCAGACCTGTCCTCCTGGCATTCTCTCTACAGGGATTCCAGTCCCAGGATTGGGGACATCATTCAGAAGGTTGCTCCTTTCCTGAAGATGTATAGTGAATACGTCAAGAACTTTGACAAGGCAGTGGAGCTGATCACCACATGGTCTGAAAAGTCCTTGGCCTTCCAGGAAGTGATCTCACGCATTCAGGTGAATTGGCCTTTGTATGCAGGACTCTTTTCACCCAACTTGGTTCTCACGAGGAAGACATTCTGGGATAAGGGCATGTGTATATATAGAAGCAACCTGGACATGTTAGTGACCAGACAAAGCATTAATATGGCACCCCTTCCCTATTCTAGCTTTTCTTCACCCATTTTAAACAGTTCTAAGGTTGATGTCCTTCACTCCAGTTTTGCTCTTTGTTGGGATATTTGTCTCCAATGTGCTTTCTGAGCCTTTTGGTGCAGCTTAGCCCCAAGACTAGTCTTTTTACTCACATCTGCACGATTTTTAAACAGTAGGCCTCCTGTACCCACGGGATCAGTTTAGACCCTGCCCCCAGATGCTGAAAAACATGGATTATAGAGTCTCTGGCTCCCTCTCGTGGCCAGTTCTGGTAACTTCATTTTAGAAATATATTTTTCTAGGATTTTTTCTTTTAATATTTATTATGTTCATACCATGGATAAGTGAATCAGCAGATACTGATTCCATGGATAATGGAGTCCTATTGTACTTTGTGCAAAGTGTTGAGGATTGAGTAACAAATGCCTGTGGTAGGGCTACTTTCTCTGTCTCTTGGTGAGCTTTAGCTCTGTGATCTCACAGAAGTTACCAGCACGGTGCTAATTCTTAGCCGGCAGCATTTGAAACTAGACACTGTTCCTCTGCCACAGGACCTGAAATTTTCTGTTCCAGAACTACCAATAGAAAGACATGCATAAGGCATTAGGTCTTTCTATCTGCTGCTGCACCATTAATACCTCACTGGAGAATATTGTCTACAAGTATACAGAGGTCACTTTGGGTTGCTGAAGAGGAAAGCCAGCTGCTGCATGTGTGAAGCTGTATGTCAGTGTACACATAGTTGCTTATGGACTCTTCATTGCCATGGTTTCATTTTCTTTCTGATATGGTTATATCCCTGAGCAGAGGCAGGAGACCTGTGCCAGCTTAACCTTGCAGCATCATATGCTGGAACCTATACAGAGAATCCCCAGATATGAACTTCTTCTGAAGGACTACATTCGAAAGCTACCTTTGGAGTCACCAGACAGGGAAGATGCACAGAGTAAGAGTCCAGTGTTATCCCTTCAGAGATGGGTGTAAAGAAGAAAGTGGAAGGAAATTCTCTATTCCTTGTGATACAGATGTGCATGCTACATGTGTTACACTAAGGTTTTCCCTTAGTGTTCATATCCTGTTTTGCTTGTCCCACCCCCTCCTTCCATATGAATGCTATAGAGTTGTTTCACATATTTATTTGGGGATGGAGTAACAAGTCCCTGTACTAAAGTTACTGAATCTTATACAGGTTGAAGTTTTGATGCCTTTAGACCACTGGTTCTCAACCTTGGCTTACTTAGGAGTTGTGGACTGCAACTCCCAGAAGCCTTCACCACCAACTGTGCTGGCTGGGGTTTCTGGGAGTTGCAGTTCAAAAACATCCGAGTAACAAAGGTTGGGAACCTAGGCTTTAGACTACCAGCAGTGCGCCCAACTGCACTGATAACAAACTCACTGATAACAAACTCCTGAATTCAGCTGTCCCTGGCTCCTTTCTGTCACCAGGGAGCAAAGTACAGTCCTCAGGATGCAGTGGGACTGTGACTCCCAATGCTGCTTGCTGGCTAGGGCAGATGTGTGTTGTGGTCCAGCAAGATCTGGTAGGCTCTCCTTTGCTCACCATGTAATTCTCATTATGGGGATTATGGACAAATAAAATGTGAAGGCAATGAGGGCTCTAGTAGCAGCTCACAAGGAAAAGGCCCCAAAGATTCTTTTCAACTGAGTGAAAGTTTAATGCCCTGACAGGAAAAGTCTTGTCTTTCCCACTGTTTTCCAGAAGCTCTGGAGATGATTTTCACAGCAGCCAAGCATTCTAATGCTGCCATTGCAGAAATGGTGAGTGTCCCTTAGCCCTTCTTCTCCAATTAAAGCCGGAGATATTTGTGGCTGAATTGCTGTTCCCCAGGTTACATCTCTTTCTTTTCATTGTTCTGCAGGAACAACTCCAGAACCTTTGGGAGGTGTATCGGAGGTTGGGCCTTGAAGACGAATTCATTGACCCTTCTAATGAGCTCATTAAAGAGGGACCCATCCAAAAAATATCTTATCGGCACAACGTCACAGCAGAAAAATACCTATTCTTGGTGAGATAGGTTCATCCGATTGTGGGGTGGTGTCTTTCCATTATGTTGTCTGATGGCAGCTGTCAGTCAGTGTATTGAGGCCTGTTGCTCAAAGCAGTCTTGTTATTTGTCACTGTAAACAAATGAAATCTTTTATTCTTTCTACTTCAATTGTCTTTGAGTGAGTTTTTCAGATTGTAAGAAAAAGGGGTGGTTTACTCTGGGGAGCTTGAAGCTATTCTGCTGCGAATCTCTGCACTTCTGCTGTGCAGCAAAAAGAATTCAATCAAAATTCAAAATTCTGCAACCATGTTGGGTCATTTGATTTTCTTTCTTTCTTTCTTTCTTTCTTTCTTTCTTTCTTTCTTTCTTTCTTTCTTTCTTTCTTTCTTTCTTTCTTTCTTTCTTTCTTTCTTTCTTTCTTTCTTTCTTTCTTTTTGTCCAGTTTTATTCATATTTGATATGTGCATTTTCCTTCATTCTCTCTTAGTTTAATAACGTACTGCTGTACTGCGCACCAAAAGTCATTCAAGTGGGTTCCGAGTTTCAAGTGCGAAGCCGGATTGACGTGGAGGGCATGAAGGTGAGAACATTTCATTGAGCCTTCACTTGGAGTGGAACTGTATCAGAGTATGGAAAAGTTATTTTCTTGGGTGACTATTTCCAGAATCTCTCATGGCTATATAGGCTGAAGAATTCGAGGGTTATAGTTTAGAAGTCAGTTTTCCAACTGCAAAACCTATGCTGCTGTGTCTAATCTGACCCAATTCAGCTCAAGGGGACTATCTTCAAGGTAACTGCATAAACCAATAGTAGATGGGCAGATCAAGGCAAAGAGGGACAGGTAGGGAGAATCCATACAGAGGGACTGCCAAAGTTATGCTGAGCAAAGCAGAAGATTGGGGTGGAGGGAGCTTGAGGCACAAAATCTGAGACACCAGCTCCAGTCTTCACATGCTCTTTTTTGTTGTTGTTACTGCCATCTGGGAGCCTGTTCACACTGATTGTTTGCTCAACTTCCTTTGCTGTGGTGTTATTTTAATTGCTTTTTAAAAATTATTTCTTGCAATCTGAATTAGCACTAGAACAGAATGACAGATAGAAAACAAAACAAAGCAGGGCTGAAACTGACTAAGCTTGCCAAGGAGAGGCCAAACTGAGGCTGAAACTGACTTGGCTTGAGAAGGAGGGAGACATCCAGCCAACAAACTCCACAGACACAATTTACACTGACAGAGCTGCTCCCCTCTGGTGGAAGAGTAAAATACTTCAATTCTGATCAAAATTATATGATTTCCTGTCAAAACAATCTATGCTTCCACGTGTGTTGTATAGCCACCTTTTAAAAATATAGGAATAATATAGGATTTGCTCTGTTATTATCATGCTGTTTTTTTTCTCTTCCTTTTTCCCTTCTGTGGATACCCAGGTTCGAGAACTGAATGATATGGAATTTCCTCATGCATTCCTTGTGTCAGGGAAGCAGCGAACTCTAGAACTGCAAGCCAGGTAAAGGATGGGAGAGGGCATGATTCTTTCTGATTCTGTTGGCAAAAGGTAATACAAATCTTTCTTTCTGACAGCTGGGTTCTTTTTCTGTGCAGATCCCAGGAGGAAATGAATGCTTGGATAAAGGTAACCGATTCTGCTGTTCTTTCAGATTGGCAGGAGTCCTGGCCAGTGACAGAGGCCAAGCGCTCCAAGTAGGCCAGCAGCCACTCTCCCAGATAACTTGCAGATCTTCTGAGCAGCTGCCTCATAATCTGAAACAAGCGCCTTGGTGCTTCTTCTAAAGACCCACCTCTGGTTATACTGGGCAAGTCGTAAAAGCATAAGAAATGTCATTGTTAATCTGCAGTAGTAGGGAACAGGTGATGTGAGATGCTTCCAGATGTTGCCTCCTAGCAATACTGGTTAAAAGATGTCAGGCAGCTGTTCTGTCTTTCTTTATTCAGTTGTTTTTCTATTGTTAAAAAAAGAAAGACAGAGGAAACAAAAAAAAAAGAACACAGATGGGTTGCAAATGGAAGATGCTGACATTAGGACCTGTTAGAAAATTCCATAGAAGAGCAAGAATATCTGCAAGAATTCTTCTGAGGGAATGCTATTTCAAGCTGCTTAGTGGTATAATTCAGTGTAGTTAAGTTAGCATGTGTAGTGCATGACATTACAACAGTGCATCTTTCCGGTATACATTAAAATAATGGCTGAAATACTTCCAGATGGGGTCTGCCTGTGCACTGAGAATAATGCCAGCCTCAGCAGCAGATTGTCAGAGGTTCAGGCTTCCTTTTTTCAATTTTGTGATCCATGTGCCTTTGTCTCATTGTGTGTGAATCACATACATCCCAAAACTGAAGAAGAAGAAGAAGAAGAAGAAGAAGAAGAAGAAGAAGAAGAAGAAGAAGAAGAAGAAGAAGAAGAAGAAGAAGAAGAAGAAGAAGAAGAAGAAGAAGAAGAGATTGTTACTTGGCAGCAATGTACTGCTGAGACTGACATAATTCCCATTATGCAGGTGGAACTGTCCAATAGGATTTTGGCCAATAAATAAATTTTGGATTAGGGGAGCCTCCTGTCCCATGGAAAACAATACGATTGTGCAGTAAAAGTTGGAAATATCTGTTGACTGGTAGCATTCACATTGCCCCCCAGCCTCAGGAATAAAAAGATATTTATGATCTGTATGGAGATTTTCAGTAATGAGCTTTATAGGCTGAAACAACCTGCACACAGGAGGGGAGCACTGATTAGATGCAACACAGGTCTGCCCCTATCATGCAACAAAATGGGAGAATGGTATAAATTACTCCATGCCCCCAGATATATTTTAAATGCGGTTGGGAAAGACGTGGCTCTAAACAGATTGGGCACCTTCATGTGCAGATTGAACCTTTCTGTTAATTTCCTTTTCCCCATCAGGCTTTCCAGTGTGCCATTGACAGAAAGGAGAAGAGGTGTGAATCCTTCAAGGCAGCTATCCAAGGGTCTGAAGTGGTGATTCAAAACTCCAATGTAATCCCCCTCAAATCCACTCCCCAAACCATATGCCTCACTTCAACTGTGATGTTTATGCATTTCTGAATTTACAGCCATGAGTGAGCCTTCCAAAGCCCATAACTTTTGTCAAAAAAGAAACACACAAATAAAAGCACAGGGCTCAACCAGGTGGGCACTTGACCTGCTGGTAGGTACATTTTGGGGGCAGATTGGTTCTCTCTCTTTTACAGTATCCACACAATGTAGTCACTATATCTGTGAAGATTCTGAGTCATCCAGGTGAGCTTATCTGGAAATTGAATCATGGCAACTGGACCTCTTGCTTATTAAGTTGGAATGTTTTGCTACTCATCCAAGTAGCTTCTTCAGTGTGAGGAGAGTTGGTAGGAGACCCCTGATATATCTATCCTCCACGTTGGTTTCGCTTCTGCCCTGGTCTGAATAAGCTCATTAGATGGACAATGGATGGGAAGGGGTAAGTGAAAAGCCCACCTCTGCAGTCCTTCTCTTCCCATTGTCATAGAGTTAATAGTTGTTAAAAATTGTCTTTCTGGTGGTCGTGGTCTTGATCTTTCTGGGGACAGATGAAAGGACAGCATGATAAATAGGAGACAGATTGTGTCTAAATCCTCCACCCCTGTTGAGTGAGATGTTTTCTATATGCACATGCTTGGCCTCTCCCTCTCTCAAACCACCTATTTTCTCTGTCCAAAATGAGACTTAGAGAACTAAGACAGAGACTCATCCACCCAAAAGACCGGACACCAAAATACAACAGAAGCAATATAGTACAGTACATGCAGTCCAATACAAAGGAGCGTTTGGAGCTCTACATTGAAGAAACCAAACAGCCACTAAACAGGAGAATGGCCCAGCAGAGGAGGGAAAATGGCTCAGAATCACAATCAGCAGTGTTTCTTCATTTGAAGGACAAAGGACAGTTGTTTGATGACCAAGATATACTCTAGAATGGGTGGAGAAGGACTGCAGAGGTGGGATTTTCACACACACACACGTCCATTGTCCATCTAAAGAGCCTATTCAGATCAGGGTGAAGTGAAACCAATGGGGAGGATATATCTGGGGTCTCCTACCAACTCTGCTCAGACTGAAGACGCTACTTGGAAGAGTAGTGAAATGTTTCAACTTAATAAGGAAGAAGTCCAGTTGCCATGACTCAACTTCCAGATAATATAGTCGCTAGAGTGGACCAATTTGCTCCCAGAGCACCCCAATCTAAACCTTTTTGATCTCATATCAAGGGCTTCTACTTTTTGGCGTGGGTTGGTGCTCTCTAATTTAGTTCATTCCCAGCTCATGTGAAGGAACTAAAACTGAGCCTTGCTGCTTTTGACACCACCAAGGCTCTTTCAGGTTTCATTTTCTGCAGTTGTGAAGTGACTTAATAAGTGAACCACTTCAGGGTATTGATAAATTGAGCACTTTCCCTGATCCTCTACAGAGGGGCAGGGGAAGTGAAATTATTAGTTTTTTTTTTACTCTGCTAGAACATCTCTGTTGTGCTGAATAACATAAATTGAATTAAATGATTTGTTTCTTTGCCTTTGTGTGAAGTGCACAGACAAAAAATATTTTCACTTAAGTAATTCAGTGCAACAGCTAGCACTGAATCGTTAAGCACAGGCAAAAATAATAATTTCACCTGTTCCTCCTCAGAGGAGAAGCAGAAGTGTTCAGTTTACAGTGGAAAGAGTCAGAGGGCAGCTTGAAGTTGAAATACCATTGGACATGAGGTCACACCCAATGGCTTATTCGTTGGTTGATTGATTCTTTCATTCAACTTTTGGATCACCCATCTGGCCTGCAGCCACTCTGGGTGGTTCACAAGATAAAAGTACCATATTTTTCTGTGTATAAAATGACACCTTTTCCTTAAATAATTAGACAAAAAATTTGGGCCATTTTATACATGGAAGGCAGCCACTTTCCCTGTGTTTTGCAGGAGAAAAAAACTTTTTGCTAAGCCATCATGGGGCTTAGCAAAAAGGAAGGGAAGGCTCCCTTCGGGTAAAGCAGCAAATGAAAGGGCTGCACGATCGCAGCCCTTTGATCCTGAAACCCTTTCATGGCTGCTTTGCTCACTTCCTAAGCCCCATGGCTTCATAAAAGGCAAGGAAAAATGGCGGTCAAAGGGAGCCCTTTGATCCCTGCTTTTCCCTTCCTTTTGCTGAGCTCCGTGGCTTAGCAAAATGAAGGGAAAAGCAGGGATCAAATTTTCTAATTTGGGGTTAAAAAAAGGGGGGGTCGTCTTATACATTGGGTCATCTCAGAAATAGAAAAATACAGTAACACAAACAAAATCATATAAAACAACTCAATTATAAAACAAAATATAACAACTTCAAACAATATAAAATACATTGTAAAATACCTAAATATAAAACATATTCCAATATATCACTCCTCTCGCGACCTCAAGTGACCCTATTTAGATTGCAGCAGGCAGCATCAAAAGAGCCAGTTCAGTCTCACACTTACAGATATACAGAGAACCAGAAATAGTGTGATTGGGAGAAGAGGAGGAAAAGACAGAGGGGTGAGATGTGCAGATAAAAGGGTCTTCCATGAAAGCTTTGGCGATGATGCCAGGCAATGTGAGACAGAGGCTTCAGAGTGACAATTGTCATGTAGTTTTCAGCAGCTACTATCATCTTTATTGCCAGAGGGGCCATAACAAAGGTTGCTTGAGTCCAACTCTCTGTTCTCTCAGCAGTGCCAGTCGGAGGAGCTGGGCAGGCGGGCTCCCCAGTGGGTGAGAGACAAACTGGTGACTATGTGCATGCGTTGCAAGGAGCCATTCAATGCCATCACACGCCGAAGGCACCACTGTCGGGCCTGTGGCTATGTGAGTAAGCCCTTCTGCCCTGTCAAATGTGTTTGGGTACAGCAGTAATGACATGAATGTATGGAAGGCACAGAGAAATAACAAAGACGTCCGTTGGAAGGACTAGTCTCAAAAACTAGCCACAAGAATGTCTGTGCTTGGTCTCATCCTATTTGAGCAGTGGAGAGATAAATGAAACTCTACCACCTTCCTTTCAGCTTTGGGTCACATAGTGGAAGAGGGGTTGGGTTTCCATGCTAAATCCTCCTTCAAGCCATATTTTGATTCCCCTCTTGGAGGCAGGTGGTGTGTGGCCGGTGTTCAGAGTACAAAGCTGAGCTGCAGTATGATAAGAATAGACCAAATCGTGTCTGCGTGGAATGCTTCACCTTCTTGACAGGGCATTTGCTGCCTGATGACCAGCATGGAAAGAACAAAAGCATCCTGGAGGTGAGCGGAAAGCCATAGCGAGATGTCTCTGTTCTTATTTTCTCAGTCTTCCTACTTCTGTCCTGTTTCTTTCTCTGCCTCTGCTTCAGTGAGGGCTTGGCCACTATTGACCTGTGTCGGGATCTTCATTGTCACATCTACTTTGCTATGCCATGCGGCAGCTTTTGATCTGCCAGTGCAGTTGCCCCACTGTTCCCCACAAAGCATAAGCAAAGTATGAACAAGAGACACTCAACCCTAAATGTAGAATAGGCAGATAGTGCAAAATCATAGCAAATAATGGCTCTCCTGCTCACCCTCAAATGTTTGGGAACACGAAAAGCAGGGGTGTGTATGATGGACTGATATTCCAAGGTACTGATTCAAGAACCCAATAGAATAGGCTTGTCCTGATTATATTTACACAAAAAACAGAAAGAACATTGTTCACCAGCTTTAGATTTAAATTTGGGGATGTATATTATGCCTCAAAGGTCTGAACATACCGTATTTCTGCAAAAATAAGACAGGGTCTTATATTAATTTTGGCTCCAAAAAACACATTAGGGCTTATTTTCAGGGGACTTTTTTTCATGTACAACAATCTACATTTATTCAAATACAGTCATGTCATCTTCTTCTGGTTGCTGCACAGTGGTGGAGGGCAGGGTTTCACTTAACTAGGGCTTATTCTTGGGGGAGGGCTTATATTACGAGCATCCTGAAAAATCATACTAGGGCTTATTTTCAATTTAGGTCTTATTTTTGGGGAAACAGGGTAGTATGGTAATTGACTGTACTATTTCTGTAAACGTGATTGCACTACTAATGTGTATTATGTTCTGTTCCATAGACAGTTACAGTCCATTGACAACTGAAATTACTTCAATGTATTTTTGAATATTAGGTGTTTGCAGAAGCCATAGGCTAAATCAAAGCTTCTTGAGCTCAAGAGAGCAATGAGACTATCTTATTCCGTGTGCCCTATCATGTATTTGAGACCCATGAGTGACTGACAAGGAGCACCTTTTTGAAAGTAACATATATAGGCCAAGTCAGAAGATATTGGTCCAGCAGATGGACATTCTGGGTAGCTGCTGTCTTTTTGGAAATGATGCTTAATCTCTGTGTAGGGGGCAGATAAAACATACTTTAAATGAAGGAGAGAAATACATAAACAGAGACCTTTATGTTGACTGTCCCTGTACTTCTGCCCCCCCCACCGAATTTTGTCAGGATATGGTGAATCTGATAGGCTGACTCTTCTTGCCTGCAAGCCCCCACTTCAACACTTTGATTTGAGGAACCACAGGGAAACCCATTGAAAGCCTAGATGATAGGAAATCTTAACAGAAGCATGTGATTGTGTGTCTTCTTCTATTGACAGAAAGGATCTGCAGGGATATCAGGGCAGAGCTTGATGTGCAGTTTCCTGCAACTGCTGGACAAAAACGGAAAGGGGAGTATGCGCGGCTGGTTTGTGATCCCACGAGATGATCCTCTGGTGCTGTACGTTTATGCTGCTCCTCAGGTATGCTTGGGCCTCTACTGTCATTAGAATTTGTTGCAGTGGGAATCCAGAAAGCTTAAAGCTTATCTGCTCACCCACCCTTTTGATTATTGTTAAAACTTAAAGCTTCCACAATGCTGACAGAATGGATTCCTCTGATAAGAGAAGGTGTCAAGCTGCAACCAGATGTAGTATGCAATTCTGTGCATTTTTAGATTTATTCTTTCATCTCCCATGCCCAGCCACTACTAGTACCACCATCACCTTACAAAGCTTTGAGGGGAAGGAATGGTAAACTTCCTTAAATATACTTTATCCCAGGGAAAATATATGGGAGAGAAAAGCAATGGGAGGGAAGGGATGTCAAAGCTGAGCTGTAGACAGCTGTCAGAAGTGAGCTGGGAGGGGGTGTCATGGAGTCCAACCTGAGGAATGCGCCATGAAGTCAACTCAGCCAGGCAGTTTGAGGCCAGGGATGCACAGGGACGTGCCACAGCCAGGAAGACCTTATTGCTCAGACAAGGTCTCAGTCCAAACAATGTGTTTTGTAGCACTTCCCTATCTAGGATGGTTGGAAATCATTCCCCTTCCCACCCTGTTCCTTGCCTTTCCCCACAAACATCATTCAGCAGGCCATGATGGCTTCCCTTTTTTGCTAAATAAAGTAAGTGACATAGCACTATAGCAATGCATCCATCTAGCATGGTGTATATAATATTGCCAATGTATCTCATTTATGTAGAATAGCACTGCATCAATAGGTGTGTGTGAGAGAGTGTGAAAATAGAAGAGTGGGTTCTCCATTGTTCCTTTCAAGGCCACAACCCACCAAATATGTCACAGGGTTGTTGTCACCTAAGATAACACCACTCACAGCTGGTATGGAACAATCTGGAGTGCTCTGAATCATGCCAAAGAAACTTATAGCCCTACCACAGTGCCCAAAAGGAGTGGGGCAGCTCTAAAAAAGGATGGGATGGATCACTCTAAGTCAAAACACACATGGACATCATAATTTGATTCAAACCAAACAGCACCAAAAACTATACAAATAGCAAACAATAAGCCTGTCTGGACATGCCCTGAGTTAGGGAGGGTTGGTCCAGAGCTTTAGACTATTTCACTGTCATGACAATATAGATTTCAGTCCTTGTAGCTCTTTACAAGGGCCACCACATACAGCACTGAAGGTTTTTATTTATAGCCCCAGTAGGTCTTGACCTTTATTGGGGAAATGGGTGGAGAGAAAAAAGTTAAACAGTACATTTCTACTACCATTTCTTTGCTTAATTATGGCTGGCTTGTGACATCCTGAAGTCTGATAGATTTGTTTAAGAGGGAACTTTTATGGATTACAGTCTACTTCTTTGGATGCAAAGACTATAATATTGAGGCCATAGGTTTACATACATATTGTACAGGACTGGGAGATAGGAACCAACGGGATACAGACTATGACAATTACATCATTAACTTTCGGAGTATTCAAACTCTGGGCACTGCTTGTCTTAGAGCCTGATTAAACCGGCAAAACATAGGAGAAATATTAGAGTTTTGCGATAGGCTGATTCACATATTTTTAAAAATGGTTGACTACAAAGGGAAATACAAATCAGCCCAGAGTTCCCTAACCTCCAATATGATGGCCTTCCTCTCTTCCTCGAGGTTTTTACTTTTTGAAAAGCCAAATGCATTCAAATCAAGTTCAGGCATGTGATGGCCAGAACTAATCAGAAAAGGGACAAGTAGCTGTATGTGTACATGCATGCATGCACTTTCTCCATCACCTCTTGCCTCGTGAGGAAGGATGAACTGTGCATGCAGAGAGAGAGAGAGAGAGAGAGAGAGAGAGACAGACAGACAGACAGACAGACAGACAGACAGACAGACAGACACCTCAGCACATAGTTTCTCTCTGTGTGTGCAGAGAGGAGGAAGCCAATAGGCATTCAGCAAAGTCCAGCTGGTAAGACTTTTCTCTTCCTCCATCCTGATGTCTAGTAGAAGAAGGTTGGTGCACCTCAATCCAGTCCCTGTTTACTTGAGGAAGGAAGATTGAGGCACCTTTCTTGAGTTTAGTTCCCTCCTGGCTTCCTCTTTGATATCTCTCCCCCACCCCCTTTTAAAGAAGAAAGGGAAAACCTCTTGTTTCACAGTTCACTGCAAGACTAATTACATTAGGAAGCCTTGATTACAAGCTCCCTTGTTGTGATAGGCTCCACCTTGCTGGTCTATTTAAAAAAGACTTCCTCTCTCCCTGTGTGGCCAGTTGCTGTGGAGAGACTGGAGGATATCTGAATTCCCCGGTGCAACTTCACAGCAAATGAATGCCAAAGGAATTGCATTTCCCTCACTGTGCAGCCCCAGCCTTAGTCTTAAAAGAGACACAACCCTTCTGTTTTGTTTTTGCTTTGTTATACATCAGGAGAAAGATATGCAGCTTTGCATCTGTTGCTCTGCTCATACAGTGGGTGAATACTGACCACACGATGCAAAGTCTGATTCAGATTGGTCCAGTCCTTTTGCTTCCAAAGCAGCTTTTTCCCTCTGCTGCTGGGGGCCTTCTAGTTTGTAAAGTCCAAATCATCTAATCAGGCTTTCTCCCATATGGTTAGTTGGGAAGCATTCTTGTAAAGATGGGCCAGGCATGTCTATAAATGGTGTTTTGGTCATGCACGCAGCTGGGGCCTACAGTTTAGCCCCTGGCCTAAAACAGTAGACAGGGCCAAAATCATGTGAAATGGCCTTCTAGGGGCTGGGGGAAATGAGCCGCTCATTCTTTCCTCTCTTCTGATAGCCCTCTGAATTCATATATATAAGATTAGTGCTATATCACCCTATCATCTTATTGCTGGGTCCTTGTTATTATTACTCCCCTCCCCCCCCCGCCAATAAAAGGATCAGCCAAGATGGGATCAGAGGAAGGAAGAAAAGAAGAAGAGATTATGGGCTGGGATGTGAATCGCGTGGTGAATTCCTAAATCTACCTGCAGCCCCTGAGCACTGATTGCGATTTCAAATGCAATACAGGCTGCAAATCAAACTGCAGCAAAGCAGAATCACTCTGAATCAGTTTTCCAGTGTAGTCACACCATAAGTCTGTGAAATAATTTCTGGAAAATCTGTCTGTCTGTCTGCATCTTGAATCCCTCTGTCTTTCAGGATGTCAAGGCTCATACCTCCATTCCTCTGTTGGGCTACCAAGTGAAGGAGATGCCACAGAGCGACACCCGCCACATCTTCCAACTGGTCCAGTCAAAACAGATCTATACACTGGCTGCAGAGACAGAAGATCTGAAACAGCGCTGGATGAAAGCAATAGCACAAGCAGCCCATGGAGAAGAAGATGACTCATTTGATGAACTGGACTAATTACCTGGTTGTGAGGCTGTTATATGCTCTGGCCCACCATTCCACCTTTTGCAAAAGGAAAAATTTCCCTGTCCCTTTTAAACTACTAGTCATTTTTTTCAACTATAACCACTGTTATAGTTTTTTTCTGCTGAGCTCCAATCTCCTTGCTTTGCTTCTGAGCCTGTCATACGGATTTGTGTCAAATGCATCACTCACAGTACATCGTTGCTGACTACAGTCAGAGACGTGCAAACTCTCACTGCCCTGCTTTCTGATTCACATACTCCCCACATCTTGTACTCTGCTATAGTCAACATTTGTTAGGGTACCAGGGCAAGCAACTTCCAGAGGTCTGGGGGTTGCATACAACTCCCCTTGGATCTTGAAGGACTGCACCCACTCTGTTACCCCCCAATTTTTTTCCATACTCCCCCCCCCAAAGGCTCTCCCATGTTCCTTATTGTCCATAGGGAGCAGTTTTCTATGGCAGGTTGCTGTTGCCACGCTGTTTCAAAGGGCATCCCTGTTTTAACACACACACCCCAGCCTAAAACAGTTGATGGGGCCAAATCCATGGTGAAATGGCCTTCTAGAGGACGCAAGGAGAATTTTATAGCAAAATTTTCTCAGACTCTTTTTTGAGGAGGGTATCTATCCAGTTGTCATGCTACAAATGTCTCACCATCTGCGAAGCATACCAGCCAGGTATATAATTTATCTGGAGTGATGAAAAGAGGAATCCAAAATAGCCTATCTGGAGGTTGATGTCCTCAGAAGACACTATCAAAGAGGTCGGAGAGAAAGGAGAATAGGCAGTATAAAAGTGTAGGCCATAAATAACTATAAATCAAAACTCTTGTCAGTCCAGGGAAGGGGCAGCCATAAGCGCGTGAGGTGAGGGTTGTCAGTGAAGCAGTCGGTCCAATAAGGCTCGGGGACAAATGATAACAGAAGTATGTACCATGTTAATGGGAAAGCAAAGCAGGATCAGGCAGCAGGTCAAGGTTTACTAGCATTCCAGGAAGTACTTTCAGATGGTGTTTATTGAGGCCATAGCTAAGGCAGCCAAAGTCTCAGCTATAGGCTTTCCAGCATTAGGTCTCCCTGGTTGGGGGGGGGCTCTCCCCTCAAGGAGACTCGTGACTTGCAAAGAAGCCTCAAGTCCCGAACACACACACACACACACAAAACTATAGTTGGGCACTGCACAAGTTTTCCTCCAACTTGGCTCTTGCCTTCATCTGGCACTGCTTCTTGGCTTGGAGGAAGCCTTGCCTTCTTCTGAGACTCCACCTGGGCCTGGAGGGTCCCAGGTTGTCAGAGATTATTTGCCCCTCTGTGCCCTTTGGCCTTGGAGGCTCTAGATCTTTAGACCTTTAGGGCTGTTGCTGAGTCCATGCTTGTAAGTCGATTGAGATATCTGACTAGCCACTGCCAGGGGCAGAATGCTGGATTAGTCCAGTGAATGCTCTGAAGGCATAGTTCTGCTACTGACACTCAGCATGTTCAACCTTGTAAGTTACTAGGTGAGGCTTGGGAACCATAGCTTCCTGCGGAAAATGTTAAAAGGGAAGGTGTAACTGTAATAAACAATAATAAATTCCTATGCTCTTATCCTGTTCTCCTCCCTTTAGGGACTACACCTATCTTCTGTCCATCCAATGAAATAAAAGCTGATGACTCAACTTGTTTTCTGCCCCTTTTAGTGACTGTGGCTGCTTTGAAATGTTCTCTGGCTGGTTCTTTTTCTGCCCTGACTATTTTTCCATGTTTTTCCTGTTTTTCCAAATTTTTCCATTTCTCATCAGTACATATGTTTGTTTAATTGTTAGCATCACAGTCTTAACTGCGCTGATAGTCCCGTGTAAGTGACAATATCCAGTAGAGACCTTCAAACCATTTTAAGCAAAGCTTTCAGTGACTATTGCTCAGAGTTAACAGCAGACAAAAGTGTTTAACTGAGGACCAATGAAAATACGTTTACAGTAAAGTCTGGGATAAATGCATGTATAACTAGCGACTTTCTAACTCCATGCCCTCCCATGCTTCCAAAGTTCATGTTGTTTGCATAACTGCACCAAAAGGAGTTCATCCAGAGTGTGTCAGAGTGCTTTCACAGGAAATGCTGAGATCCATTTGACAGTTCCAGTGATGATAGTGCATCAGAGCAGATGTCTGTCTATTTGTGTGAGTCTCAACAGCATCAGTATTCTTTGTGCTTATCTCTGTTTTTAATAATGACTCTGATTTCCTTTTTTTCCTTTCAAAGTACTTTTCTCTTGGAAAATATAATTTGTTTCAGATATTTTGTCTTAAGTAATGTTCTTCCATACTTTGCTCATTTATATGTAACCTGCAGGGCTTCATTCATAGTTATAAATACAGTATATGGCTTTTTGTCTCAGCATGTTGTTGAGAACTTATGAAACAAGAATAATTGAATACCAGTGGGAGTCATTCCATTGTTTGGCCTCAATATTGCCTCTACAATCACATTTTTCTGAAATTGATAGGTGCCCAAAAAACTCTAATTCCAAGGGGATAAATTTGCTCATGTTCTGTAGAGAAGTAATGCAGTGACGTCTTAAGTATTAAAAATGTATTGAAAGATTCTGTAATTCACCTCTCGCACACCAGGGAGCAGTCTAACCTATGAAATAGCAAAACCAAGCTTTTTTTTTAAAGTTCTTTTTTTTTAAAATTCCTTTCTTTCTTTAAAACTAGGAAGTGCCAGTTGGCTTGAACTTTAAACAAGTTATGATCTAGTGATCCGAGAGGGAATTTATGAGTTCAGTAGAAGAGAAATAAGCCAGTATCCCAAATATCTGTGTCTTGGGATAGGTAGGAAAGTTATTGTTCCTCATAAGTTATATATTGCATTACAGAAAAACCTGGAGTGTTACTCTTGGACTGTATTTCCTAACTCTCCTACATCTGCCAATTAGCCAAATTTTGTCATGGCTTGTTGGAAAAAGCCAGCTGAAATACACAGGGGCTGCAAAAGTATCATATGTATCTACAGTATGTCACAGAAGTGAGCACACCCCCTCACATTTCATAAATATTTTAGTATATCTTTTTATGTGATAACACTGAAGAAATGGCACTTGGCTACAATGTAAAGCAGTGAGTATACAGCTCGTATAACAGTGTTAAAGTGCTGTCCCGTCAAAATAACGAAACACACAGCCATTAATGTATAAACCGCTGGCACCAAAAGTGAGTACACCCCTAAGTGACAATGTCCAAATTGGGCCCAAATAGCTATTTCCCCTCCCTGGTGCCATGAGATCTGTTAGTGTCACAAGTCTCTGGTGTGAAGGGGGAGCAGGTGCTATCACTCTCATTCTCTCAGACTGGTCATTGGACGTTCCACATGGTACATCATGGTAATGAACTATCTGAGGATGTGAAAAAATGAATTGTTGCTCTAAATAAAGATGGCCTAGGCTATAAGAAGATTGCCAAAACCCTGAAACAGCTGCAGCACGGTGGCCAAGACCATACAGCAGTTAAACAGGACAGGTTCCACTCAGAGCAGGCCTCGCCATGGTTGACCAAAGAAATTGAGTGCCCGTGCCCAGCATCATATCCAGAGGTTGGCTTTGGGAAATAAATGTATGAGTGCTGCTAGCATTGCTGCAGAGGCTGAAGGGATGGGGGTGCATCAGCCTGTCAGAGCATGATCCCCTCCCTTCAGAGACTGTGAAGCTCTGGTGAACAAAATATTGTACAACAAAATATTAACACTTTGTGCCCAATTTGGACATTGTCACTTAGGGGTGTATTCACTTTTGTTGCCAGCAGTTTAGACATTAATGGTTGTGTGTTGCATTATTTTGAGGGGACAGCACTTTCTACACTGCTATACAAGCTGTATACTCTGCTTTTCATTGTAGCCAAGTGTCATTTCTTCAGTGTTATCACATAAAAAGATATACTAAAATATTTATGAAATGTGAGGGGGTGTACTCACTTCTGTGATATACTGCATATGGGAGGCTGGTCCCTCTCATGGGACCAACAAACACACTTCTTTTGGCAATGAACTTCTATGTGCACAGAGATGAATAGATGAATTAATGTTTATAGATAATAGCTTGGTCTGAGTTGCTATAAACAATGAGAAATGCAAAGCACAGGTTTTCTTGCTGTCTCTGTCACATGAACCAAAGTTATGTCTTGACTCCCCTCCCCAAATGCATGCAGAGCTAGTGCAAGATGTTCTATGGCCTGAGGCAGGAGGACAAGAATCACCCAAAACCTCCTGCCGCACCAGCTGCTGTTCCTGTTTCCCCATCATTGTTTTTGGCTTCTTCCTTGTCCAGCTACTCAGTCCCAAGCACCTCACTTTGAGGAGACCCTTCTTTAGGGAAAGGTATTGTGGGTGGGTTGGCCATGGAAACCACCTATCCTGCCCAGCACAGGACAACTCCTTGACCACCCTCCACAGTGCCTTGCTCTGAGGCTCAGAGAAATGCACTGGGCGGTGTGAGGCCCAAGAGGGCCTAGTGAACGAAAGAGAAGAGGCAGGAATAGGGAAGGGCTCTCTAAGGAGTCTTGCTATCTCTGCTTTTGAGAGCCCACCTGGCTGCAGTAAATGAAACACCTGGAAGGAAGTAAGCAAAGCTCTTTCCTCTCCAGCAGGAAGAGGGCTGTGTGATATACAACAGAGTGTGATCATTGGGGCATGTCATTTCCAGGCCTTGTGCTCCATCACTTGAGGTGCATACCACTTTCTGCCTAATGGAAGAGCCAGCCCTGGCGACTTTTCATAGATAACCTCCAACAACTGAGAAAATAAATGCATACTGTACACTGTGCAATATTCTTTTAAATCAAGCAGTGGATACAATACAATTCTCCCAATGCTGGACTGCAACTCCCATGATCCCTCACTTTTGTTTGGCTGAGGCAAATAGATAGATAGATAGATAGATAGATAGATAGATAGATAGATAGATAGATAGATAGATAGATAGATAGATAGATAGATAGATAGATAGATGAAAGAAAGAAAGAAAGAAAGAAAGAAAGAAAGAAAGAAAGAAAGAGTTTGGAGTTGGAGGCAGAGTGTGTGTGTTTAAGGAGTGATTAGTCAGAGTGTGACCTGTATTAATTAAGATAGAAGAGGTTAAAGTAAAATATGTGTGTCTTGTGTAACTCAAGAATGTGCTTAAGAACTAGTCCTAAAATAACTTGTAATCAATACATCTGTTTCTGTTTAAAAGTTCATTACTGAATAGACCTCAGTCCTTCATAGGAATTACAGTATAGGTTGACAAAGAGATCAACTGGCAGCAGCGTGTTAAAGGATGTGTTGGGATACTCATGGGAGCTCTGTGTTTGGTGAAACAAGCAGTGGCCACAGGGTAAGTAGTAGGACTTTCTACTACTATGGTAAACGTGACAACTGGTTTCCTCGAGCTATTGACTGGTTGATTTATTATATTCATACCACATCACATGACATAATGAGACTTCAAGATAGCTTACCAATGCACAATAAGGACCAATATTTTGAAATCACCATAAAAAGTCACAATGTAAAACAAGCAGGGAAAAAAAATTATCATAGTAAGACCAGTAAAAACATCTAGAAATAAAATAGCCATTTCATGATCTTCATAGTTCTTTATCAGCTATCCACTCAGTGCCACTACAAAGATATTTTGCTGTCTGAGCCAGGGCAGTGAACCATAACCCCTCACTCAAAAGGCATAGGATCCAAAACTGCTCAATTGGTTTCGGTATCTGACCCAGAAAATCCCATAAGCATCGCTCCCCATCTTTTAACTAAATTGAATGAATTCAATAACAAGCCAACATCTGCTGCCCTTGTGTGATATCCAAAACCAGCCTGAGGTGGCTGCTTCACTCTGTCTCCTATTAGGACCACCAGCCAAACAGCTAATCATATTAGTTTCTCATGTCCCTCAAGCACATATATCAGCATTAGTGTTGAGCAGTGGCTTTACTTTACTCTGAATTGTTGTTGCCATGGACTTTTTTAAAGTTATTGTTCCTTTATACTGACTACTCCTAATCACAGAGTAAAATGTGTGACTGTCCCACTCTTTTAAAACCAAAAATGTCCCATCAACTACAGTACTGTGGAAAGCAAGGGCAGACTCTTCCCCTTCAAGCCTGGCCTATTTTCTGAACCTTTTTTTCCTGGTGAGCATCATCCTACATGCCTGAGAAGAACAAAACACGTCCACATTGACTGGCTGCCATTCTCCCAACATCACCAATGGGCCTCTGATCTTAACAATAGACTTCCTGCTTTCCTCGGGCTAATAAACTTGAGAAATTGCTTCCCAGTCAAAGGTCACCCTGCTTCTATTTTTATTACCATCCTGGCTCTTCACATTATAGTCTGATTCCTTGCCACAAGCTGTCCCGCACAGAAGTCTCATTGTCCAGAAAAAAGGACATGGAGGGGTTAGCAGTGTGCCAAAGATGTACCAAAAAAGAGAGTTTAAAACAAAACAGAGCTTAGATCCACCTCCCAGCAATCTCCAGGGACAAGAGGAAGAGATGGTGTTGAAATGTTTAAACATCCCAGACCTGTAGAGTTGGAGAGGGGAATAAATTAAAGTAGACTGAAGTGAATAACATAACTGTTACAGGCTTGTTACTGGGGAACATCCATCATTCACTTACCTTATGTATAGTCTGTTACATACATTTTATCCTGTGTTTTGCGTTTCTATGGTTTTATTCATTACATGTTTTAATTATATTTGTATGATTTAATAGTAAGGAACTTTGAGACTCATTCATGGGGGAAAGGGAGGACAGAAACTGAATACATAAATGATAATTAAAAAGCAACAACAATTGAGATAGAAGCTGAATGAATAGTGACCCATTTGGAGCATTGCTAACGCTGAACTGAAGCATTATTATTATAACTTTGTTTAATAAAGTCACACGTATAAGCAAGCTTCACACCTTCAAAGTGCTAACTCAATAACTGGCTGAGTTTATTGTATTGGTTCCCTACCCTTCTTCTAAAGAGCTGAGGGTGGCTCTTTATGTCCATGTTCTCTTCCCAACTATTTTTTGAGGTAGGCTATACAAAAATCATGAGGGCTTGAATCCTTACTTCTTTAGTTCAAACTCAACAGGTTTCATTATAATCAGCTTTATAGTCACTGAAGTCATTCTATGTTAAAAACTACAGGTTGAAAATTTAGGGTTTTCTTGAATATTCATTTCATCTTTAATTCGAATATTACTGTTTCAGCTCTGTGAGGGGCCTCTCGAGAGATAAGTGTCTCAGAAGTAGAAAATCTTT